AAGGCCCCAGTGGCAGGGTTCGCATGCTCCCCACCACCATTTCGGCACACCCCTCACACGTTTCGTGGCCCCATAGGGAGCTCCACCGAAGGCCCCAGTGGCAGGGTTCGCATGCCTCCCCACCACCCATTTCGGCACACCCCTCACACGTTTCGTGGCCCCATAGGGAGCTCCACCGAAGGCCCCAGTGGCAGGGTCGCATGCCTCCCCACCACCCATTTCGGCACACCCCTCACACGTTTCGTGGCCCCATAGGGAGCTCCACCGAAGGCCCCAGTGGCTGCGTTCGCATGCCTCCCCACCACCCATTTCGGCACACCCCTCACACGTTTCGTGGCCCCATAGGGAGCTCCACCGAAGGCCCCAGTGGCAGGGTTCGCATGCCTCCCCACCACCCATTTCGGCACACCCCTCACACGTTTCGTGGCCCCATAGGGAGCTCCACCGAAGGCCCCAGTGGCAGGGTCGCATGCCTCCCCACCACCCATTTCGGCACACCCCTCACACGTTTCGTGGCCCCATAGGGAGCTCCACCGAAGGCCCCAGTGGCAGGGTTCGCATGCTTCCCCACCACTCATTTCGGCACACCCCTCACACGTTTCGTGGCCCCATAGGGCGCTCCACCGAAGGCCCCAGTGGCCTGGTTCGTATGCCTCCCCAACACCCATGTCGGAACATCCCTTACACGTTTCGTGGCCCAATGGGGATTTCCATTGAAAGCCCCAGTGACTGGGTTCGCATGCGCCCCCACACCCATTTCGGCACACCCCTCACACGTTTCGTGGCACCATAGGGAGCTCCACCAAAGGCCCCAGTAGCTGCGTTCGCATGCCGCCCCCACACCAGAGCTCCACAGAAGGCCCCAGTGGCAGGGTTCGCATGCCGCCCCCACACCAACTTCGGTGCACCCCTCACACGTTTCGTGGCCCCATAAGGAGCTCCACCGAAGGCCCCAGTGGCAACGTTCGCATGCCGCCCCCACACCCATTTCGGCACACCCCTCAAACGTTTCGTGGCCCCATAGGGAGATCCACCGAAGACGGTACTCACACCAGCAATACTCACAACTGCATATGGTTGGGTCCTTCGCCAGGCTAATTTTATTTCGGCGCCCCCCCTGGCTGCCTACCCGCGCCACCGCCCGCTGCCCGCCGGCCAGCGCGTTGGCGGGGCGCGCTTCCCCCATCCCGCGCGCCCCCTTTCGGGCCCGGTGCAGCCCCATGTGAGGCCACGAAGCGAGGAAGGGGTGCGCCGAAATGCAGGGTGGAACCACGTGCGGGCGCTGCCACTAGGGCCTTTGGGGGCCACGAAGCGAGGAAGGGGTGTGCCGAAAAGGTGGAACTGCGTGCGGAAACTGCCACTGGGGCCATGGGTGGAACATTGTATGCGGCCACGCAACGTGGACCCTGCCACGGGGGCCCTCGGCGGAGCACCCCATGGGGCCACGAAGCGTGTGAGGGGTGCGCCGAACTGGAGGTGGAACTGCATGCGGGCCCTGCCACTGGGGCCGTCGGTGGCGGATCACCCTATGGGGCCACGAAGCGTGCGAGGGGTGCGCCGAACTGGAGGTGGAACTGCATGCGCACACTGCCACTGGCCTTCGGTGGAGTACCCTGTGGGGCCACGAAGCGTGTGAGGGGTGCGCCCAAATTGAGGTGGAACTGCATGTGGACCCTGCCACTGGGGCCTCGGGTGGAGCACCCCATGGGGCAACGAAACTTGTGTGGGGTGCGCCGAGATGGAGGTGGAACTGCATGCGGCCCCTGCCACTGGGGCCTTCGGCGGAGCTCCCTATGGGGCCGCAGAATGTGTGAGGGGTGCGCCGAAATGGGCATGCGAGAGAGCAGAGGCAGGGAGGGGAGGAGGGTCAGGAAGAGGAGTGAGGGAGGAGGCGCGGGGCGCTGTCTTTTCAAAGCGAGGACCCAATACCACAGGATGGTTGGGAATGAGTTCGATCGGTTTTGGCACCGAACCGCCCAAAACAGATACCCCCTCCGCCCGCAGTTCCTGATAGTTGCCGATCGGCGGGGCATGCGGGGGGCGTCTGTTTGCGGCAGGTCGGTACACCAGCGGATCGAACGCCTGCACCCGTCAGGGTCACCCCCCCTTTGGTGGATCACGACGTTGGCGCAATGAACAAATTTTCCTGGCGAGGGACCCAACCATGTGCAGTTGTAAGTAACGCAGTTGTGGGTATCGACCTCGGTGAACCTCTCTGGGGTCACGACACGGGTACGCCATGCGGACCCTGCCGCCGGAACCGTCGGTGGAGCCCCATGTGAGGCCACGAAACGTGTGAGGGGTGCGCCCGAATGCAGGGTGGAACCGCGTGCGGGTGCTGCCACTGCTAGGGCCTTGTGGCCACGAAAAGTGTGCGGGGTGCGCCGAAATGTAGATGGATCTGCATGCGGACCCTGCCGCTGGGGCCTTCGGTGGAGCACCCTGTGGGGCCACGTAACGTGTGAGGGGTGCGCCAGAATGGGGGTGGAACTGCATGCGGACCCTGCCACTGGGGCCTTGGGCGGAGCTTCCTATGGGGCCACGAAACATGTAAGGGATGCGCCGAAACGGAGGTGGAACTGCATGCGGACCCTGCCACTGGGGCCTTCGGCGGAGCACCCCATGGGGCCCCGAAACGTGTGAGGGGTGCGCCGAAATGCAGGTGGAACTGCATGCGGACCCTGCCACTGGGGCCTTCGGTGGAGCACCCTATGGGGCCACGAAACGTGTGAGGGGTGCGCCGAACTGGAGGTGGAACTGCATGCGGACCCTGCCACTGTGGCCTTCGGTGGAGCACCCTATGGGGCCACGAAACGTGCGAGGGGTGCGCCGACATGGGGGTGGAACTGCATGCGGCCCCTGCCACTGGGGGCTTGGGCGGAGCGCCGTACGGGGCCACGAAACGTGCGAGGGGTGCGCCGAAATGCAGGTGGAACTGCATGCGGACCCTGTCACTGGGGCCTTCGGCGGAGCTCCCTATGGGGCCACGAAGCGCGTGAGGGGTGCGCCGAAGTGGGCATGCGAGAGAGCAGAGGCGTGGAGGGGAGGGGGAGGAGGGGGAGGAGGAGGAGGAGGAGTGAGTGAGGAGTGTGTGAGGAGGCGCGGGGCGCTGCCTCTTCAAGACGAGTACCCAACGCGGGGACACACAGGGCGGGGACAATTTGGGACGGGGAGCGGGCTGGCCCCGGCCTGCCGCAGCAATTTTGGGCTACAGGGGGATTTTCGAGGACAAATCTTGAATATCCCAAACTTAGCCTGGCGAAGGACCCAACCATACGCTGTTGTGAATACCGCAAATATGAATATCGTTATCGGTGGCGCTACCTCTGGGTAGGGGAACCGCATGCGGACACCCCCACTGGGGCCTACGGTGGAGCTCCCTATGGGGCCACGAAACGCTGCCCTGGGTGGGGGAACCGCATGCGGACTCCCCCACTGGGGCCTACGGTGGAGCTCCCTATGGGGCCACGAAACGCTGCCCTGGGTGGGGGAACTGCATGCGGACACCCGCACTGGGGCCTACGGTGGAGCTCCCTATGGGGCCACGAAACGCTGCCATGGGTGGGGGAACCGCATGCGGACACCTCCACTGGGGCCTACGGTGGAGCTCCCTGTGGGGCCACGAAGCGCTGCCCTGGGTGGGGGAACCGCATGCGGACACCCCCACTGGGGCCTACGGTGGAGCTCCCTATGGGGCCACGAAACGCTGCCATGGGTGGGGGAACCGCATGCGGACACCCCCACTGGGGCCTACGGTGGAGCTCCCCATGGGGCCACGAAGCGCTGCCATGGGTGGGGGAACCGCATGCGGACACCCCCACTGGGGCCTACGGTGGAGCTCCCTACGGGGCCACGAAACGCTGCCCTGGGTGTAACGGGGCCACGAAACGCTGCCCTGGGTGGGGGAACCGCATGCGGACACCCACTGGGGCCTTCGGTGGAGCTCCCTATGGGGCCACGAAACGCTGCCCTGGGTGGGGGAACCGCATGCAGACACCCCCACTGGGGCCTACGGTGGAGTTCCCTACGGGGCCACGAAGCGCTGCCCTGGGTGGGGGAACCGCATGCGGACACCCGCACTGCGGCCTACGGTGGAGCTCCCTATGGGGCCACGAAGCGCTGCCCTGGGTGGGGGAACCGCATGCGGACACCCCCACTGGGGCCTACGGTGGAGCTCCCTATAGGGCCACGAAACGCTGCCCTGGGTGGGGGATCCGCAGGTGGACACCCCCACTGGGGCCTACGGTGGAGCTCCCTATGGGGCCACGAAGCGCTGCCCTGGGTGGGGGAACCGCATGCGGACACCCCCACTGGGGCCTACGGTGGAGCTCCCCATGGGGCCACGAAACGCTGCCGTGGGTGGGGGAACCGCATGCGGACACCCCCACTGGGGCCTGCAGTGGAGCTCCCTATGGGGCCACGAAGCGCTGCCCTGGGTGGGGGAACCGCATGCGGACACCCCCACTGGGACCTACGGTGGAGCTACCTATGGGGCCACGAAACGTGTGAGAGGTGTGCCGAGAGCAGAGGCAAGGAGGGGGAGGCGGGAGGAGGGAGGAGGAAGGAAGGAAGGAGGTACGCGGGGCACCGTCTCTTCAAAACGAGGATCCAACACCACAGGATGGTTAGGGCAAAATCCCAAATGGTGAAACAATTTTTGAAAAATAGTCCCCAGACCCCAGACTATGTTTTGACTATTTTTGAATATTCCCCCTGTAGATGGACAGGCCCGACTTCAGGTCACACTGGGGGGGCCGCTTGTCCCACGCGCGCGCCCCAGGAGCACCAGTTCCATTGTCGCTCGGCGCGGCTTGCGCGGTCCTTCTTGAGGGCGCAGTGAGAAAGCTGTGGGGAGTGGAGCGGGCTAACCTCGATCCTCGAAGCCCGATCGCCTCTTGCTTCTGCTCCTCCTCCTGCTCCTGCTCCCGCTCTTGTTCCTGCTCCTGCTTCTGCTCCTCCTCTTCCCCGCTGCGAAGGAGATTCAGGAAGGGGGAGGGCAGGCGTGCTGCGCGCGTACGTGAAGCCGAAGCACCTCGACGCCCTGACGTTCACGCTCTACCCCGTGATCGAGTCCCTGGGGGGAGGGCAGGGACCTCCTCTTTTCTGTCTGAGCTCCCTCGCTCTCCCCCTTCGAGGCGACCTCCCGTGTCTGGCTGGACGGCAGGCCCGGACCCAGAGCCTGGGCGCCGTGCGGGCTCCCTGATCGGCTCTCTCGGCTCGGCGCTGCTCCCCGCTGACCCCCCAAAGCCCAACGTGTTTCTGCCATTGCCTGCTCCCCAATCAGGGGATCCGCGCACCGCCCGGGCTCTTGAGCAGGGCCTGCCGCCGAACCTGCACTCAGGAGACCGCCGCGAGCGGCGGCCGGCGCCCGGTGCGCCGGCAGCCGCCTCGGCCCGAGGCGCCTCGGCCCCGCGCCTGCGCCGCGCCCCCCGCGGGCCACGCATGCACGCGGCGCCCCGCGGGCCGCCGCGGCCCCGCGCGGCGCGGCCCAGCGCCGCGCCGCGCCCCGGGCGGGCGCCCCCGCGGGGCCGCGCGCGCCGCCGCCGGCGCGGGCGCCCCCGCGGCCGCCGGCCGCCGCCCCCGCGGCCGCCGCCGCCGAGGCCGAGGCCCAGCGCGGCTCCGCACGTCGAGGCCGAGGCCGAGGGCGGTGCGCACGCCGAGGCCGCGGGCGCGGCGCCCGCGCGGCGGGGGCCGCCCGCGGGCGCGCAGGTGCCGGGCTTGCCGGGCGGGGTCCGAGCAGATGGGGTCGGAGGATCGCGCCGCGTCGCCGATGTTTGGCCGGTGCATCACCGATGCATCGGGCCGCTGCGTCGGCGATGCATCGGGGGCGCTCGCGATGCCTCGGCGACGTCGGCGTGGAGCAGGGCGGGCTCCGCATCGAGCCGCATCGCCAGTGCATCGGCGATGCGGCGCGATCCTCCGAGCTTATCCACATCTGGGAGGCCTCTACAGGTGCCGCTCAGCGCCAGGGAGATGGTGTGCAGGATCGCGAAGAAGAACACACGGCATAACCAGAAGTTTTCAGAGCTTCGTGCGGATTTCTCGGATCCGCGCTGGGCTTCCCTGGCGTCGCCTCCGGCGTCGCCTCCGGCGCCGCCCCTGGCGCGCTCCGCGCGCCAGGGAGGGGTGTGCAGCGCGCATTCAAGAAATCCACGCGGACGTCCCACAGTTTATGTTTATGTTGATGTCATTGCTTGTTCCTCCAGGATCAGGAGGATGCAGCGCTTGGACCCGGAGATGAAGGCGAGGTGGTACGAGTATTGCGATGCGCACTGCGAGGGGCGGTGGTACGACCCCGGCAAGCACGACGCAGCCTTCCTCGCTGGCTTCATCGCCGTCCACGCCGACAGCATCCTCGCCAGCGCGGAGCCTGGCTCCCACGACGAGGGGGACGAGGGCGACGGGGACGCAGCCGCGGAGGCGCACGCGCTCGACGGCGGCGTCGACCTCGACGACCTCGACGACCCGCTGGACTGGCTGAGGCCCGAGCCGGGCGAGGCGGGCGCGCTGGGCGCGGCGCCAGACCCCCCGGGCCCGCTCACGCCCGGCCGCCCCCCCTCCGCCTCCCCGGGCCTCTCGCTCCCGAGCGCCCCCGGCCTCGGCCCCGGCGGGCCCTCGCGGCCCCGCGCCCCCGACGGCTCCAAGTGGATCCAGGTCGGCAACGTCACCTACTACGTCGGCGACCCGCAGGGCCCGCCGGGCGGGAGCGGGAGGGCGAACACGCCGTGCCGGGCGGGGCGCTCCCCCGCCGGCCGGACCCGCGGGGGCCTCCTTGGAGGTTCCCGCAGGGGGGAGACCCCGTGGAGCCCCAGCAGGGCCCAGTGAGGCTCTCCCGGAGAACGTCCGTTCGGAGGAGGAAGAGGTACCCATACCGCTATCCTTCGCTCGTTTTCCCCCTTTTTTGTCGCCCTCCTTGGAGGCCCTCGTCGCCACCGCTGGATTCGGTTTCAAATTTGGCTCAGAACGCACCCCTGGAGAGGTCCGTGGAGAAGCAGTATCGGTACCTTTTGATTTCCCCATGGGCCCTCGCACCGTACGCTCAAAACAGAAGGGACCACTGGGTGAGCAAACACAGAGCCGACCAGGGGGCCGCCTCCACGACCCCTGGACGTTCAGGCTTGGAGAGCGTTTGTTTTTTTGTCCCGGGCGTTGCTGGGAGGCGGGGAGGGAGCCGGTAACCTAATGTATCGCGCTGGCGCAGTTTGGGAATGCTGAGGAATAGCCAGAGGCAGCTCTGATAGCGGATCCCTGTAAGGATCTGCTACGGCAGAGAGCGCCTGCCCATCGGGGACCTGCTACGAGGAAGGAGGAGGAGGAGGAGGAGGAGGAGGAGGAGGAGGAGGAGGAGGAGGAGGAGGAGGAGGGAAGCGCTCTGCCGCAGCAGATCCCGATAGGCATGTGCGGTCTGCCGTAACAGATTCTTGTAGGGATCTGCTATCCGAGTTTTCTTTGCCCGTTCCCGAGCATCGGACAGTGCCGTCGCGAAACGTGACGTTACTCGGGGGGCGGGGCGGGGCGGGGCGATGCCAGCAACGACCGCCATCGCGAAAAGTAAAAGCCGCTCTCTTGCTTTTCTTCAAGGTCCAGCGTGCGCCTTGGATCCCTTGCGCGGTTGTTCGTCCTCCGAAGGAGGTTCACGGGCCTGGACCGAGACGCCTACGGGCGCTGGGTGCCCAAGGCTGCCGCGAGCAAGCTCCGCGCGGAGCCAGCGCCGAGGACTCAGAGGGCAGACGGCGCGCCCGCGGAGCCGCCGCCGAAGAGGCCCAAGACGGACGGCGCGCCCAGCGGCGACAGGGACCTCAGACCTCCAGCGCCTCGAGCAAGCCTCGGGGCGGGGTCAAAGAAGAAACGGCACAAATATATCACTCTTGGCGCTCCGCGTGGACTTCTTGGATCTGCGCTCGGACCCCCTGGCGGCGCTTCCGGCGCCGCCCCTGGCGCGCTCCGCGCGCCAGGGAGGGTGGTCCAGCGCAGATCCAACAAAACGCGCGGAGCGCATTGTTTTTTGTTATTGTAATGGCCTCTGGCCAGGCTTGTTCCGCCGATCCTGGGGGCTCCGGAGCTGACGTGCCCTGTTTGGGAGGGACGGGCGCTCTTGGAGTCGTCAGGGACGCTTTTTAGAGCTGACGTGCCCTCTGGGGGGGTGCCTGGAGTGGTCCCGGGGGGGGGGGTCTGGGGAGGGTTCCGAGGGGAGGGTCCTGGGGGCGGTAGCGGCTAGATCTGAGGAGGGTCCCTGGGACCCCCCGAAATATCGTGGGGATGTGCAAATCATTAAGAAAACGCCAGATGGGGGACCGCCCCCTCCTCTCCCCCCCTTCCCCGGCAGAGCCACCCCGGCGACCCTCCCCAAGCAGAGCTGAAGCTCTTGCTAAGGCTCAGAGCTGAAGCTCTTGCTCAGGCTCCTTGCAGTTCACACGCTGGATCGGCGGATATATATATATATATATATATATATATATATATATATATATATATGTGTATTGTGTTTTTTTTTGTTTTTGGTTTTTTTTTGTCCCCCCCGCCCTCCACGGGGGTCCGTCGCTCGTTTGGGGCCTCCAGCGGCCGTCCCGGGGCCCCCCCGGGGCCACCAGCAGAAGGGTCCACAGGGCGAAGAGAAGAGGTCCCACGGGGGGCGACAGGTGGGGGCGATGCCTCGGGGAGAGTGCTGGGAGAGCCACACGTGGGGGCGGTACTCGGGGGGCAAGACTTGGGGGCAACTGAGGGCGACACTTGGGGGGCAATGCGTGGCCGCCGCCCCCATCACCCTCATCCGCAGATGCAGGGTGCAGCCATGTTGGCCCCACCCAGGCCGCCGAGGCCACCCGGCGCGCGGCGAGCTCACCCCCGAGAGGGGGTCTGGAGAGGTCGGGGGCCCGCGCTCTGTGGGCAGCATCGTGGCGTCGGGTGTCCAGAGCTCCGGGTAATTAGGGAATGGGCTACAGAGTTGATTCACCCCAGAGTGTTCTTCTCGTCGAATCTACGAAACATTATGCGTATTTCTCGTAGTCTCGACGAACCAAGCAACGTCGGGGGGAATACATTCTGCAGCTGACCCCCTACTCGAGGACTACGAGCTGGACTTCCTCTTCTTCCTGGAGGAGCACCTGAAGGACAACCCGGTGCCGATGTCCGTCCACTCGGTCAGGAGGGAGGTCTTGCCGCTGTGGTCGATAGAGCGGCCGTGGCTGGAGGACGAGAAGAAGGCCGAGGTGACCATCACCCAGGCTTTCCTGGAGGCGAATTCCGACAGGCTCGTCTGGATCCCAGGTCCTGGGAACGACGAGGTCAACAGGGCCGATTTCGTGGGGTGGGACCCCGAGAACTCCGCCATGGCTCAAAGGACGGCGATGGGTTGAGAAAGATGGCAGGATAAAGTGAGCTAGACTGGGGCCACAGTTGGCTTTGTAGGTCGTGTCCCTCTGTCTCTGCTTCCGCTTGCCAACCCTCCTACGCACCCCTTTTCCCCCCTTCCCTCCCCCCCTCTTCCTCCTCCTCCTCCCTTCTTCTTCCTCCTCCTCCTCCTCTTCCTCCTCCTCTCAGGCCTTGTCCCCTCCGGCGGCTTACATCGCTGTCGCTGGCCATCGAACCAGGAAGCGGAGGTCTGCCCCTCGCTCCTCGCTCGCTCCTCTCCTCGTAGAGGAGGAGGAGGAGGAGGAGGAGGAGGAGGAGGAGGAGGAGGAGGAGGAGGAGGAGGAGGAGGAGGAGGAGGAGGGGGAGGAGGAGGAGATCTCCTCGCCGCTCGCCCCCCTCGCCCCCCCTTCCCGCGCTCGCGCGCGCCCTCCCTCGCGCGGGGGGAGGAGGAGGAGGAGGAGGGAGGAGGGAGGAGGAGGAGGAGGAGGAGGAGGAGGAGGAGGAGGAGGAGGAGGAGGAGGAGGAGGAGGAGGAGGAGGAGGAGGAGGAGGGAGGAGGAGGAGGAGGAGGAGGAGGAGGAGGAGGAGGAGGAGGAGGAGGAGGAGGAGGAGGAGGAGGAGGAGGAGGAGAGGAGGAGAGGAGGAGGAGGAGGAGGAGGAGGAGGAGGAGGAGGAGGAGGAGGAGGAGGAGGAGGAGGAGGAGGAGGAGGAGGAGGAGGAGGAGGAGGAGGAGGAGGAGGAGGAGGTAGGAGGAGGAGGAGGAGGAGGAGGAGGAGGAGGAGGAGGAGGAGGAGGAGGAGGAGGAGGAGGAGGAGGAGGAGGAGGAGGAGGAGGAGGGGGGTCGGGGGGCAGCTGCCTCCCCGGCGGCTCTCCGCGGGGGGGGCGGCTGCCGCCCAGGGGGGCTCGGATGTGTAGGCGCGCCGCCGCCGCGTGGGCGCCCTTGGCAGGGCCGCGGTGCCTCGGGGGGGCTCGGCTTCAGTGGGGCATGTCCCGCCACGGGAGGAATACAGTGTCGCAGGCCTAGAGATTGACACCAACACCAATATCGGCGGTGTGCATCCACCGAGGGAGGAAGATCCCGATCTCGGTGGTGGTGGTAATATTCTGGCTTCCAAGGTGGCCGAACTATTGCCACCAGCACCGAAATCTGGGATCGTGTTCCCCCTGTGGAGGCAACCCCCTGTGTTGGTGTTGGTGCCCAGTTCTAGGCCTCCAACAGTGGGGGCGCGCATCAAGAAGCCATATGCTTTTCGTCAGGGTATCCTGGGTTTCTTCGCTCCTCGCGCGGCGCGGTGGCTTCCCGCAGCCGTGGAAGGAGCTGCTGCGTTCAGGGTGCTCCGGGTTTCCCCTCAGGTGCACCCTGCGCACGGGTTCTCAGGGTTGGGTTTCTTGCGAGGGTCTCTTGCAGCAGCGCTCGCACTGTATCCCAAAATAGTCACAACCTAGTCTGGGGACGATTCCGAATTTGTTTTTCTCCCTTTTTCATTTTCCGTCCAACATCCGCCTGGAGGACCTGCCCCACCTAAGACTAGGTGGCCGTGGGGAAGGGGTCGGGGCTTCTGGGGCCCGCGCATTGAATAATCGCGCCAGAGCTCCATGGACGTGTTTGTGTGTGTGTGTGTGTGTGTGTGTGTGTGTGTGTGTGTGTGTGTGTGTATGTCTACATCTTCCACAGTACCCGCTGCTTTGGCTGGCCGCACCAGCCTGCTCTACGCGGAACTTTTCCACGTCTGATCGTTTTCCCCTCCCCTCTGGACGCCCGAAATGGGTAATGGGTACGATGCTCAACAGCAATTCCTGTTCATTTTGAACAGGACTCGCTGTCCACGCCGCCGCGGCCTGTGTCCATTTCAGACAGAAGGCCGCCTGCCCAACAGCGGCCGCTGTTGGTTTGGGACAACATTTGTTGTTGGGCATTGTACCCATTCTTTCGGTGCCCATTTCGGGCGTCCAAATCCCCTTCCCCCCGCGCGGCCGCCCTCGTCTTGTTTCCTCCCTCTTGCACGCCGGACAATTCGCCCTTCGATTGGCCGAATAGCCACACGCTGGAGCGGACGGCCTCTGCCTCACCGCCGAGGAAAAACGTGTGTGCCTACATTCAGGAGGGGAAAAAACACAGACACAATTAATCGTGGATTCCCCAGAAAATATGGGAAAATATGGGAAGTGGGGGCGAAGACAAAAACCCAGAAAATATAGGAAAATATGGGGGATCGTTTTATTTGTGTGTATTTATTTGTGTGTCCTGGGGCCCCTTCATATATTCCTCCTCGGAATCAAGCGCAGGCTTTTCCCGCGGCGTGGCGGCGCCCCACGGCCCCAAAGTTTCAATGCTCGCGCCGGAATGGGTGACTGCAGGCACACAGTCTGGCCCCGTGGGCCGCTTTTCGCGCGTCGACGGCATTCAAAGCTTGCGTTGCGTTTTGAGGAAAGTTGCAGGTTTGAGGCCTCCCAAATAGAGGCCGAGTAGATGGGGTCGGAAGATCGTGCCGCGCCGCCGATGCAACGGATCGGCTCGATGTGGAATACAATTTTCTCCACGCCGACGTCGACGCAGCACCGACGTCGCCGATGCGGAGTGATCCTCCGACCCCAGACCCCATTTGGGATGCCCCTAGTGTGAGGTTCGAGGGTGTGTGAGTTTCGAGAGCGGATTCTCGGCCTTTTCGAGGGTGTGTGAAGTGTGTGTGTGTGTGTGCTTGTGGGGGGTTCGAGGGTGTGTGAGGTTCGAGGGTGTGTGAGGTTCGAGGGTGCGTAAGATTCGGTGCCTCTGCATCGCGGAAGCCTCCCGAGGCCTCCGGGCCACCCTGCAGGGGCATGAGGAGGATCGCGCTTGGCGCCGTGTGGCCTGGGCTGGAGGGCTGCGCGAGACCACGAACATTCGGCGATCTACGCTCGATCTACACAGCACCACCACCACCATCATTTTTTTTGCGTCGGCGGCTGGGCGGAGGGCGACTGCTCTGGCGGAAAGGCAACGGGGGACACGTTGTATGCAAATTAAGGCCGCGATGCACGGAAGGAGGAGAAGGAGACCCGGCGCGACAGGCAGAGAGGAAGCCAGGCCATTCAGAGCTGCCGGCGGCGGGGGGCGCACCGAGGGGGGGAGCAGCGAAGGGACAGAGCTGCAATGGGCTGCGCTGAGCTGAAGCCGGGGGGAGGCATCAGGGAGCTGCAGCTGGTGGTGGGAAACACAACAAAGCAGAACCCGACCCAGTGAACCGGGCACAGTCCACGGATTGGCCAGCGCGCCGAGGCCTGCGGGCCTACGAGGCGCGTGCGAAGAGGCGGGAGGCGGAGAGGCACGGCTGGGCAGCCCCGGCGGCGGGAGCCGCGCCGCAAGCGGGCACGGAGCGTCTGGTCTGGGCAGCGCGGAGCTGAACAGGGCTGAGCCTGGTGCAGAGTGGCACCGAGCAGTAGCTGAGGATGGGAAGCCAAAGTGGAAGGGCCCAACCCTGTGAACCGAGGGGTGGTCCAAGGACGAGCCGGAGCGCCGAGGCTTGCGGGCCTGCGAGGCGCGGGCCAGGAGGGGTGGATGACAAGGGATGGTACCGCGCAGCACCGAGCGGTACAGAGCAGTACGGGAGCGGCCCGCGGAAGGACGACTGGGGGGAGCAGGACGACCGCCCAGAGTTTCGACCCGTGCCGACGGGGGACACCCCGACGTCGGCAACGGTGGGGAGCGCCGAGACCAGGAGAACCAACGAGGCGCAGGCGCGGAAGAGATAAACGGGCCGGCGATGCGCAACGGCGCGGCAGACGGGGCAACGAGAAGGAACAGGGCCACGCCAAGTAGGGGAGCGGCGGGCCCAGGGCGCAGGCAGGACGACAGCCGGCGCCACGAAGTGCCTGGCCAGCGGCGAGGCGAGGAGGCACGGAGCAAACACCCAGCCAACGCGGGTGCTGAGGCCAAAACAGGGGAGAACCGGGCCCAGGCAAGCAAGGGCACAGGCATGGAAAAGGGCGACGGTGGCGAACGCCTGCCAGAGGCGGGAACGCAGGAAGGCCACGCCCACTGCGGGAGCGGCGGGCCAAGTGGTGCGAACAAGGTGGCCCCGAGGCAGCGAGCCAACTGGGCAGTAACCGACAGCGGCGAGGTGCCATGAGGGCAACAGCGGCCAGACACTGGTAGCCGGTGCTGGGGAGGGGGCCACGAAACCAGGCAGACGGTGGGGACATAGGCAACGTAGCGATAGTCGCCTGGCCGGCGAAGCACGGCAAGGGCCAGCGGGCACCAACATCGCACACACGCACACACACGCCACCACAACCACCACCACCACCACCGCCATCACCACCGCCACTACTCCACTCCACCACCACCGCCGCCACCACCACCATCATCACCACCACCACCACAACCACCACCACCACCACGACCACCACCACCACCACCACCAGCACCACCACCACCACCACCACCACCACCATCACCACCACCTCGGTTCGGACGCGCGTCTCCAAGGAGGACATATAGTACTAGTATGTCTCTGTGCGTCCCAAGTGGTGCAGGTGCATCGGTGACGTCCCCCGAGAGAAGTCCAGGGGATACAGTCAGGCCGCATAGTAAGGATGGGCAACCTTCCCAAGGGTACCTTTGCATCTTTGCCTCCTCGGTCCATCCTTGGCCACTTTCGTTGACTGCGCCCCATATGAAAAAGCTTCGAAATGGGCGTTCAAGGCCCTTGCATCCTCATCTCGCATCCTTATGATACGGGTCGACTGTAGCTGGGCCAGTGGGGATCGATGCTTCTGGGAGGTTTCGCCAGATCTCGACGGGTTTCCAGCCTCGGGATGCCCTCCAGCAGCTGCTCCTCGCCGAGACGCTGGAGGTCCGAGTCGTGGCCCTAAACCGCGTGGGACGGATATACATACTGGGATCGGCGCGGAGGTTGCTAACGGGATACGGGGGTTCAGTGATATGGGCTTGGTGGGCTCCGCTCGCTTAGTGAAGGTATCTAGCCCCTCTGAGCCACTTCGAGCATGTGTAGCCCATGCGGAGCAGGAGCAAGACGAGGAGGAGGGAGGGAGGGAGGGAGGGAGGGAGGGAGGGGAGGGAGGAAGGAAGGAAGCAAAGAAAGGGAAGGATGGAGGGAAAGGAAGGAGGGACGGGAAGGGAAGGAAGGGAAGGAGGCAGAGAGGGAGGGGAGGGAGGGAGGGAGGGAGGGGGGAGGGAGGAGGGAGGGGGGGAGGGAGGGAGGGGAGGGAGGAGGGAGGGAGGGAGGGAGGGAGGGAGGGAGGAGGTGAGGGAGGGAGGGAGGGAGGGAGGGGAGGAGGGAGGGAGGGAGGAGGGGGGAGGGAGGGAGGGAGGGAGGGGAGGGAGGGAGGGAGGGAGAGGGAGGAGGGAGGGAGGGAGGAGGAGGAGGAGGAGGAGGAGGAGGAGGAGGAGGACGGGCCCTCGTCTTCCTCCTCCGCGCCCGCCCACCCTCCGCCCGGGGAGCCGCGGCGCGACCGGCCTCGGGCCCTCGAGCCGCGGAGGATCGTCGGCGAGCTCGACGCCGACGGGTCGGGCACGCAGAACCGACGGATCGCTGGCGAGATCAGCTCGTTCAGCATGCAGACCGCCGTCGGCTACATCACCTGCAGAGAGGACTCGAGCGCCGTCGTCGTCGTCGTCGTCGTCGTCGCCGGCGCCGTCGTCGGCGTCGTCGTCGTCGTCGTCGTCGTCGTCGTCGTCGTCGTCGTCGTCGTCGTCGTCCAGCGGACGCCCGACCCCCGCGCAGCCGGCGGGGGAGACCAGCAGCCCCGCCGGCTCCAGGCGCGCCCGCGGGCGCTCGGAACCCCGGGGCCCGTCGGCCTCCCCCCCCATGCGCGAGGGGGCGGCGGGGCGCGCTCCCCACGGCCCGCGCGGGCCGCTGCCGGGGGCTCGGCCAGAGCGCCGGACATCCCGCAGGAGCCTGCAGGGCCAGGGCTGCCCTGACCCAGTTTTGGGCGCAGCATCCTGCAGGATATTGCTGGGTCCTGCAAGGCCCGACTGACCCCGGTCTGGCTTGACCCGGGTCCGGAGATCTGCGATCGAGGGCGATGGAGCTGGCCCCGGAGGGTGCGCGCCCCCTCCTGTCCCTGGAGTGCCCTCCCCTTTCGCGGCGCGCTCCGCACAGCGGCCGGTCATGTCGTAGCTGCAACCAGCGCTATTAGGATCAATCTATTAAACAAACCTCTGCACACCCGGAAATACAATTAAAAACACACCATGCAACAACTCTGGGGAAACTCTAACAGCTAAACAAAACTCAGAACGAATTTCTGAACACCAGGCGAAGTCCAGAACAACTTGCGGGGAAAGCTCAGAGGAACAAAAAAAACTCTAAATTCTGGCCATGACCGGCTCCCTTTGCCTCTTTCCTGCCCTGGCGACGCGGCGCTCCTTCGCCCTGATGCGCACCTGCGCTCTTGTTCAGTTGTGCCTTCGCGGGCGAGCTTTCCTGCCGTCCACGAGTTCCCCGCTCGCTTCTCTCGGCGTCTCCCGGCAGCGAGTGCGGGTAGGTTGGCGGCTAGGGGCGATGGGTGTGAGGATAACCCGCAGGACCAAGCCACCACCTGCCCAGAGTCTTTTCCCCCGAGCCCTCCTCAGGATTACCCTGGGGTCGGACGACAGATCCAGTTCTTCCAGGACGCTCTCCCGGGTATCCTGGCAAACTGTCAGCTGGGCGGCTCCCACGCTATGCGGAACACGACCTGGTTCAAGGGGCGCGAGGTCGGATTTGTCGTCGACTTCGGCTGCGGGAAGCCGCGGGCCAAGGACATCAAGTTCCTCAGCTGAGTGCGAATGAAGACCCGAACGGCTGAAGCACAACCTTTCGGAGGTCTGCGCGGATCTCTTGGGGCGGCGCTGGACCCTCGAGGGGGCGCTGCCTCCCTGGCCCAAGGTGCCACCAGGTGCCCCCGAGAGGCCCAGATGGCCTGCTGAGCACCCCTCGCGAGGCCCAGATGGCTCCTCCTCCTCCTCCTGCTTCTCCTCCTCTTCCTCCTCCTCGTCGCTCGCTCCTGAACGGCGCAAGAAGCTGATGGGGGGGCACCTCGGGCCACAAGTATCCCCCGGGCAACCCCTGAGAGAGCTCCGCGTGGGCCTCTGGAAGGTGGTGCCCCGTGCCGCTGCTCGATCTGCCACGAAGAAGAAAAAACGTCATGCGGGTCGGGCATGCCCTCCTGCTGGCGGATTTTGGAAGACAGACTTTGCGTAGTCAGACATACTCAAAAGCAGTGAAACAATCTACGCCAAATCGCCCTCATAGATTCCTCCTGTAGGAGGACACGCCCGACTTCATACCACATACAGATGCACTTCGGTTGCTCGGCGCGGATTTCGTGGATCTGCGCTGGAGCCCCCTGTCGGCGCCTCTGGCGCCGCCCTTGGCGCGCGCCGCGCGCCAGGGAGTGGGCTGCAGCGCAGCTCCAAGAAATCTGCGGGGAGCTCCGAGAGTTGATGCTTCTGCCACAGGGCCCCAAAGATGTGCACCACCACCGCCGCCACCTCCCTCGCGCCTCCCCCTCCAAGGAAAGAGGAGGGGAGGATCGGCCACGCGCAGAGAGGGCCAGGGGGAGGGGGGGAAGGCTTCTTCGAAGCACCCACACTTCTCAGAAGGCGCGGGCCTTGTCTATAGGTGTGAGGTTGGCGCCTTCTAAGAAGCAGCCTCCTTCTACTCAGAAGCCTTCCCCACTTCACCCGACCCCCTTGTGCGCGCCGCCAAGGAGAGGAGGGGGGAGGGAGGGGAGGGAGATGGAGGGAGGGAGAGGATGGAGGGAGGAGGGAGAGGGAGGGAGGGAGGGAGAGTGGAGGAGGGAGAGGGGAGGGAGGCAGGGAGGGAGGCAACACTCGACCCAGGAGGGTCATGCAAACGAATTCCCACGGTGGCCCACGAGCCCCGCGAGACCTCCAGGAGCCCCAGGGACCCCTGCCGAGGCCTCACCGTCCTGAGCGCAGGCCGAGCCTGGGTTTAACCCCAGGCTCGGCCCGCGCCGACCTCGTACATGGCGTGCGCCACGCCGCCCTCGGCCTCCTGCAACGGCCGCCCGAGCTCCATCGCGAAGGAGGCGAAGAGCTGGGCGCAGTCGCGGGCGCGGGCGGCCGCAGCGGCCTGGGGACCGCCAGGCTGCGGCCCCGCCGTCGGCGGCCTCCCAACGCCCGCGGGGCCGAACTCGCAGCCCACGAAGCTGTCCGCCCATGGACCAGGAGGGCGGCGGTCAGCTGCGCCTGCACGGCCATGCACGTCGCCGCCGTCGCCGTCGGCGAGGCCGTGCTCGGCGGGAAACTGCCCGACGGCCGTCGGCGCCTGCACCGCGGCGATCGCGGCGAGCTGCGCTTCGAGCTCGACGAGGCGGTCGGCGGCCGCCGCGAGCTCGGCGCGCTGCGCCTCGGAGCCGTCGTCCAATCCACGGCCCCCTGATCCAGCGATCGCGAGCGCCGCCGAATCCAGCCGCTCCTGGGCGCCGCGGAGGAGGGCCTCCAGGTCCGCGGCGCACACGGCCGAAGGAACCTCCGCGATCTGCACGACCTGGCCGCCGTTGTCGCCGTCGGCTGGCGGCACCTCCGAGCCGTCGAAGGTCAGGCCGTCCGCGCCGAGCAGGCCGAGGGGAACGAACACGGGCGCCTGCGCCCGCATGTTGAATTTCGAGCTCTCCAAATCGTGGTCGTCCTCTCCCCCTTCGAAGGGTGGCGCCACGCAGCCGATGAGGCCCTCGACATCGCCACGTCGCATCGGGAGCCGAAAACGTCGGAGCCGCTCGGCCCAGTCGCGGTCCCCGCTGAGCCCCTCGCAATTGCTCCGCCAAAGCCGCGGAGAAGCAGAAGCCACGGCTCCCGCGCGAATGTAAGGCCACGTTCCGCCTGAGCACGTCCAGATGCTCCGGGGCCTCCTCGGCTAGCAAGGCGGACAAGGCCGGGACGACCGCGAGGATCCTGTCCCAGATCTCTCCGTCGCCGAAGAGCTCCGCAAGCGAGGCCTGCATCTCCTTGAGCTGGAGACGCGAGCGCTGCAGCTCATCCGACAGCTTCCTGATAGCCCTGTCCGCGCTCTCCTTGGCCCAATCGCGCCGCACCCGACGGTCGGCCGCGGTACGACGGGGCCTTTGGCATGCATCTCGCATGCCGTCCCGTAGATCCATCTCCTCAAACAGGCAGCTCCAGACGCCACATGCCGAACGGGAAAATGGCGCACCAGGGGGCTTGAGGCTAGCTTGAGCCAAAATGGCTACAGAGGCAGGGAGGGAGGGGGAGGAGGAGAAGGAGGAGGAGGAGGAGGAGGAGGCGGAGAAGGAGGAGGAGGATGAGGAGGAGGAGGAGGAGGAGGAGGAGGAGGGAGGAGGAGGGAGGAGGAGGAGGGAGGAGGAGGGAGGAGAGGAGGGGAGGAGGGAGGGGGAGGAGAGAGGAGGGAGGGAGGGAGGGAGGGGGGAGACGGGAGGGAGGGAGGGAGGGAGGGAGGTGGAGGGAGGAGGAGGGAGGGAGAGGGGATGAGGGAGAGGGGAGGGAGGCAGGGAGGGAGAGGAAGGAGGGAGGAGGGAGGGAGGGAGGGAGGGAGGGAGGCCTGCAGGTACCGTTTTTTTCTTCTTCTGCCTCCGCTCGCGCCCTGCCGCTGCGGCTCCGACGGGGGGCGGCCCTCGCTCCGGGCGGGGCCTCCCGCAGGGCTCGGGCCCGCCTTCGGGGGCTCTGGGCAGGTCCGCCGGTGATCTGGCGGAGCACGGCCAGGAAAACCTCGTGCTCTCGATGCCCCCCATCTCAGAGGAGGGAGAGGTGCCCATACCTCTGGCCTCCCCTCGTTCTGCCCCTTTTGGGGGCCTCCTGGGCCTCCGTCGTCGCCACCGCTGGATTCGCCTCGAAATCCTGGTCAGGACGCAGCCCAGGAGAGGGCCGGGGAGTAGCGGTATCGGTACCTGTTGATTTCCCCACCATCTCCATTCTGGTGTTGCTAGAATTTCGTCTGTAGAGTGCGCCAGCGTCGATGAAAGTCTGGTGATCGATCAGATAGCGCCGATTTAGAGTCGACTAGCATCGATTCGCGTCAGTTAGCGTCGATTTATCGTCGACTTAGCGTCGAGTCGCAAGAGCCACCAAGATGGCATGGGAGGCTCCCATGAGTTGCAACCGAAGGGTTCGATGCTGACTGCCCTGGTGTTGTCAGAATTGTCCCTGGCCCAAGGTGCCCCCAGGATTTCCAAGGATACCCCCGCGGCCTCCAGAGCATCCCTCACAAGGTCCAGGGGGCCCCAGGAGCTCCAAACTGGAGCGAAGAACTGGGGGCACCTTGGGCCAGGAGCACCTTTTTAGCAACCCCCGATCCATCCCTGTCCCCATCGTGGTGCCCATCTCCACCCCCATGGCCGACCACCATCCGCATGGCCGGCCCCCGTCCCCATCCCAAACCGTTCCACCACCCCAGCTGGGATGTGCCCCTCGAGGCTCGGAGGGAACTGCCCATGTCCCGGTCCGCGGGGTATATCGGCCATGCCAGTGGGGCCCAGGCTGCCCCTCGAGGGCCCCTCTCTCCTCGCCCCCCCCCACTTTCAGGGGCAACCATAGGGGGGGATAGGCATAGGGGGGTAGGCATCGACCCCGAATCGCCCATGGATCGCCGATGGGAGCCCGATAGCCCCAACCTGCCCAGGAAGGTTCGGATTCACTATCGGGGGCCCATCGCCGATCTATCGGCGATGTATCGCCGATTCCAGGTGGATGCATCCCCCGTTTGCGGGTCCCCCCCTATCGTTGCCCCCCCCCCCCCATACTTGGGTCACCCCACACTGCAGCCCGCCCAAGGAAATGGCCCCAAGAGGGGCTCCGTGGGGCTCCTCCCGGGCCCCCGCCGGCTCGAAAAGGGGCCCCGCAGCGCCCCTCGAGGGCCCCTCCCTCTTCGCCCCCCCCCACTTTCAGGGGCAACCATGGGAGGGGGGGATAGGCAGAGGGGGGGCAGGCATCGACCCCGAATCGCCCTCCTCCTCGCCCCCCCGCTTGCGTCACCCCCCGCCGCAGTTTGCCCGGTGCTGCGCTCCTCCGTCGCCGCCGGGGGCGCCCTCCGGGGCCGAGGAGGAGGAGGAGGAGGAGGAGGAGGAGGAGGAGGAGGAGGAGGAGGAGGAGGAGGAGAGGAGGAGGAGGAGGAGGAGGAGGAGGAGGAGGAGGAGGTTCGAGGGGGTTCGAGGAGGAAGAGGAGAAGGAGCTGGAGGGCCGCCCCTCTCGGCGGAGCCGCGCCGTGCAGCGGCCTCTCCGGCGGCCCTCGGGCGCCCGGGCGCCCCTCGGGCGGGCCGCGCGCGGAGCGGCGCGCCTCGTGCGCGGCGCGGCGAGCCGGCCAGCTCGTGAGTTTTTTGCGTGTCGTTTTTTTTTTTTTTTTTTTTTTTTTTTTTTTTTTTTTTTGTGGTTTTTGCTTCGTCGTTTTTTGTCGTGTGTCGTTTTTTGTTCTTTTTGTTTCCGTTCTTGTTTGTTCATCGATTTTTTCCCCAACCATCCTGTGGTGTTGGATCCTCGCTTGGAAGGGACAGTCCCTGCGTCCTCTCCCCTCCCCTGCTCCTCCTCCTCCCCCTCCTCCCTCCTCCCATCCCCCCCCTCCCCTCACACGCTTCGTGGCCCCGTAATGATCTCCACCCAAGGTCCCAATGCCGCCGTCCGCATGGCGGCGCCGCCCCATTTCGGCACACCCCTCACACGTTTCGTGGCCCCATAGGGAGCTCCACCTGAGGTCCCAGGGGCACAGTCTGCATGGTGGCTGCTCTACGGACGGCACCAGTTGCTACGTTCGCATGCGCCCACCGCACCTATTGCGGCACACCCCTCACACGTTTCGTGACCCCATAGGGAAGCCCACCGACAGCTCCAGTGGCTGCTTTCGCGTGCGTCCACCGCACATTTTTTTGCACACTCCTCACACGTTTCGTGGCCCTTGAGGGAGCTCCTCCGAATGCGTTGCATTCAACGACGGCACTCCCTCACAACTGCATATGGATGGGTCCTTCGCCAGTTTTTTTTGTTTTTTCCCAACCATCCTGTGGTGTTGGGTCCTCGTTTTGAAGAGACAGCGCCCCACGTCCTCACTCCTCACCGTGATCGTCGTCGTCGTCCTCATCATCGTCATCACCATCATCATCGTCACTATCATCCTCATCACCATCATCATCGCCATCATCGAAACCATCATCGTCATCAGCTTCGGCACACCCCTCACACGTTTCGTGGCCCCATAGGGAGCTGCACCGAAGGCCCCAGTGCCGCCGCCCGCATGCGTCCCGCACGCCCAATTCGGCACACCCCTCACACGTTTCGCGGCCCCATAGAGAGCTCCACCGAAGGCCCCAGTGCCGCCGCCCGCATGCGTCCCGCACACCTACTTCGGCACACCCCTCACACGTTTCGTGGCCCCATAGGGAACTCCGCCGAAGGCCCCAGTGCCGCCGCCCGCATGCGTCCCGCACACCCAATTCGGCACATCTCTCACACGTTTCGTGGCCCCATAGGGAGCTCCACCGAAGGCCCCAGTGCCGCCGCCCGCATGCGTCCCGCACACCCAATTCGGCCACCGAAGGCCCCAGTGCCGCCGCCCGCATGCGTCCCGCAGACACAATTCGGCACAGCCCTCACACGTTTCGTGGCCCCATAGGGAGCTGCACCGAAGGCCCCAGTGCCGCCGCCCGCATGCGTCCCGCAGACACAATTCGGCACAGCCCTCACACGTTTCGTGGCCCCATGGGGAGCTGCACCGAAGGCCCCAGTGCCGCCGCCCGCATGCGTCCCGCAGACACAATTCGGCACAGCCCTCACACGTTTCGTGGCCCCATGGGGGCTGCACCGACGGCCCCAGTGCCGCCGCCCGCATGCGTCCCGCAGACACAATTCGGCACAGCCCTCACACGTTTCGTGGCCCCATGGGGAGCTGCACCGTGGCCCCATGGGGAGCTGCACCGAAGGCACCAGTGCCGCCGCCCGCATGCGTCCCGCAGACACAATTCGGCACAGCCCTCACACGTTTCGTGGCCCCACGGGGTGCTGCACCGAAGGCCCCAGTGCCGCCGCCCGCATG